GTACTATAGAAGTGAGGGGTAACTCTAAAATTTGTTTGGAGATGTAGTTCTCAAAGTTGGAAATCTTGCAATGGCTTGAAGTTATACTTTCATTCTTGGTTATGAAATTTAAAATTTTTAAAATGGTAGTAGATCAGGTAGATCTATAAACTCTTAAAGTTTTTTAAAGTAGATGATTCAGATAATTTGTTTAGGAAACATCAATTTTAAGATTTAAAATTCATTTTTTCATATCCATGCATCTCGAGATTAAGATTATGATGAGCAATTTGGAGAGCTTTTCAACTTTTAAACACTCTCAAAGATTTGTAAAGTGCACCATACTTTAATAGTACGCGATGTTATATAAATTTTCGGAAAATTGTTTCACGAGTAAGTGGGGATAAGAGCCGTGTATGATTAAACCCGCCTTTACCTTGAATTGTTGGAGCAATTCTAAATTACGCCCTTTTTCCTCCTTAATAGGCAGTAGAGTTCCATTGAAATGGGACCTAAAGGCATCGCAACAGCTTTTTATATCCATTGAAATGGGACCTGAAGGCATCGCAACAACTTTTTATATCCAAGAAGAATTTTAATCATAGTTAGCAAATTGGGAAACAACAATATATATTGGTCAATTAGGAAACGGGCTGAAGGGGCTAGGTTTTTATAGCACAATGTCTTAAGTTCCATTCCTATGTAACCTTGTCAATAAATACATTATATATATATATATATATATATAGAGGTAAATTAATAAATTAATAATAAACTGGTTTTGATTCACAATTTTGGAGCAAAAGTATGGATCGTCAAAATTTTGGTAAGTCAAAAAGTTGCGAATAATTCGGATTTGGCTAAAAAATAAAATAAAAATCATATATGCATAGATGACATAAAATAAAATTACAAGTTGCGGTTATTGTGAGAATCATCGTTAAATTTTATAGATGTGTGATATAAGTAATTTCATAATTCTATATTAAATTTATTAAAATTATTATTATAAAAAATTTCTAGTAAAATATTTAGTGTTGCGTGCGTAGATGTCATAAAATAAAATCACAAGTTGGAGTTATTGTGAGTCATTGTTAAATTTTATAGATGTGTGATATAAGTAATTTCATAATTCTATATTAAATTTAATAAAATTATTATTATAAAAGTTTCTAGTAAATATTTAGTACTGCGATGATTATTTATTTATATATATGCATTTATAATAATAATATGGATTGTATATTATTGATTCATGTTACTTATTTATATATATGCATTTATAATAATAATATGGATCGTATATTATTGATTCATGTGACTTATTTATGTATATGCATTTATAATAATAATATGGATTGTATATTATTGATTCATGTTACGCTTATTAAACATAAATATAAGTGAATTAATTATAATTGAACTATTATCCCTTTTATGCTGTTGAATTTGCTCAAGATTTATGGTGACATATAGTTTTATTGAGGATACGACCCTTCATATTGCCGACCCAAATAATTGGGAAAAGGCTCTAATGACGATAATGATTTCGTTGTTAAATTTGTTATAACTAGTTCTCATGCACCCATATAATATCACATAAACAATTTACTCATTTTGTTAAATAAATATCTAATATCATAAACAGAAGGACACAATCATATTTTCTCATTCACTATATTATATCTCATAGTATTTCTGACGGATCAAATTTCATATAACATCTTAATAAGACTTACAAAGCAAGTAAATCATGTTGGCTATTATACAAAGTATGTACCAAACAACTATCAAAATACATGTTTGGATGAAATTATTTGAAATGAATATATTATAAATAATATTATGTTATTAGCTATTTAGCATGTACTTTGTACTATATATATGTTTTAGTTATAGGAAAAGCTGGCATTGACTCACTAGCCTACATATACATATGAGCCCAACTGCCCAAATTCAATCTGGGTCGATCAAATGATCACGATTGTATTTCATATTTTAATTTAAATTTTTTTATATAAATTCAAATCACTTGAAATTTTTAGCTTGTGTTCTTTAAAATAGAAGAATCTATTAAAAATATCAAAAAATAATAATTTACAAAATTATATTAACTAAAATACCCTCGAAACATTTTAGAAGTATTGATCAATTTATATTTTAAGAATTATTTTTTTAATTATTTTTATTAGATGCATCTTGATGAGAAGAATATGTACCCAAAATTTAATATTATTTGGATTTGTAGAAAAAATTAAAATTAAAATATAAAATAAAGTTGTGACCGTCAAATCACCCAGGTTGAATCTAAGCTATTGGGTCTTCACCAGCTTTTTCCTTAGTTATATAGATTTATTTATTTATTATTTTAAACTATTTTAAACTATTTCTAATTAAAAACATATTTTTTTAGCAAATTTCTTTTAATATAATAAAAATAAATTTATACATAAAACTGTCGATAATAGACTACATCAAACAACAAATAGTTCATCATCAGGACTAATTTTATTGAAGCTGTGAAATATTAGTATCTGCCCGTATGATAGAGAGAGAAAGCAATAGGCAACCTCCATTTCTTATAATTTCCAATATAGAAGAGACAGAAAACCCATCTCCAATTTTGAAATTCCATTAGAACACGACAACGCTTGAGACATGCAAGGAGACAAATCCTTTTGTTACGTGTTAACCAAGAAATAAGCATTCAATCGTTAATATTAAAAAAAAACAAAAAAAAAGCATTCAAGACTATTTCGTCGTCTAGCGAAAAGTAACATTTAAAATAAGTTAACACCGGAAAAGACCACTATGCGTTCTATATTCACTTGAACTAACGTGCACCACTAAATATTCGTGAAAGACATGCACCACTAAATTTTTGCGAAAGATATAGTTCAAGTATCGAAAATATTACAATAATTTAAAAACCATAGCATCAATTGTAAAATTAAATTGTAAGCATATTTATGAACACTTTAAATTATTGAAAATAAAGTGTCGAGGTAGCTTGTTAAAAAGTGAACTATTTTTAAAATTTTTAAAAAATTATATTAAAATACATTAAAATGATCCATTAGAAAGTTTTCAAACTTTAGTATAGTCTTTTCTACTTGATATTTGAAATGCACCTTACTTCTATATTAAGAATTACAACCTAATGTAAAGTTGACATTCAAGCCCACATAAAATATGTTTCGAGAAAAGAGGTTCAAGATGTTCTCCACTTTTCTTTCCGAATTTAATTTGGGTGCGGTTCGTATAGAGCCGAGGCTCTAAACAATCAAAGCAGAGCCACCTTCAAATAGTATCAAAAAACGTGGTTTTAATACTAAAAATCTTCATGATAGTCTTAAAATATATTTTTATTATTAATTATAAAATTTAAAGCGTTAAAAATAGTGTAGATAGAGTAGATCTATAAAACTTGAAAATCTTGAAAATTGACGGTCCCAAAATACATTAAGAGCTAAACTATCTCAAAAACTTGAATCCATTTTTTTCTCATGTCCATGCATCTTGATGTCAAGATGATCAATTTGAAGACATCTGGGCATCGAAACAACCTCTACTAATAAAATTTTAATTTGATTGTTTAGAGCCTCTGCTCTAAATAATCTTTTTCCATTTAATTTTGGAAAAATTGTTTCATACAAGCTGGACCACATTTCTACATATATGGTTTAAAAAAGTGTAAACCATCTATCTTAAAGATAGATGCAAGTAGTTGTTCCATCTAAAACAATAGAAATTATCAGTGTAAATGTTTTGTTACCAAAATGATTACTCCTTGTTTTTAAAATTTATTTTCCTTTTTCATATTCATGCTCTCCATTTTAAAGATTATGTATCTTGAAAAATTAAGTTTAAAAATCCATCTCAAAAATAAATTTATTAAGGGGCTTGTATTTCTACATATACGGGCTTGACCGCATAAAACCGGGTTCTTAATTTTGATAAATTCTGAAACTTTACTAAATTTAAGACCGAAATTTCGGACGCTGAGAAAGGGCGGTTTGGTCAGAGGACAAATGCGGGTGATACATGTCCAAATTTACGATATAAAGGACAAAATGTGTGCGAGACCAAGTGCTGGTCTATGACTTGCACCTACTGGGAAATCAAGCGGCCGCCCCAGTTTTTTCCTTGCTTCACCATTATGCTCTGGTTTTCTGATTTGTCTCTTAGCTCTCTCTCTCCTCTCTAAGTCTATGTAGTTTTTGTTTTGGAAAGGTTTCTATATTTTTCATTCAGCCGTTCAATTTAGATCAAATAAGTTATTAATCATTTAGTCTTGATCTCACATCTCATAATATTTTATTTTTAGTTTTTATTCTACAACATTTTAGAATATTTTATTTTTAATTTATTCTACAAATTATATGAATATAAAATTTAAGGTGTAGTTTATGTAATGTGGCAACCTTCAACAATCCAATTAAGGCACCTCCAAATTTTATCTTAACATATTACTTTTGGAGTAAAATATTTTTAGGATTATCTAAAAATCTATTTTTATCTCTGATTATAAAATTTTAAACTTCAAAAATAGTTAAAATCTAGTAGATCTATAAATATACGAAAATCTTAAAAATAGACGGTCTAGATAATATGTTGCAAGATGGACTATTTATGGGATTCAAAATCTTTTTTCTTTTTATATTTATACTTCTCAATGTCGAGACGATCAATTAGAGGGTTTTTCAACATTAAAACAACTTTTTCCGATGGCTTTTTGAGGTGCATATTAATTCTACATTTTAAGATTGCATTCGTATATAAATTTTTAGAAAAATTACATACTATCCGTTATAGTTTGCATTATTACAAAACTATCGAATAGTTTCCGTTATTACCTATCTGTCTGTTTTTTTCATGTCAAAACAAAAATTTTAAAAAAAGATAATTTTACCCTTTTCGGTTTTTGAACAATCGAATTCAATAGATTTTTATTGTTCAACCACTGAAATCATGTCAATTTCGGTTTTTGAAAAACCGAAAATTCAAAATTTTTGGTTGTTGAATAACCAAAAATTTTAACTCTTTGAAGAACCCAAATTTTTTTTCTCCGTCTTTTCTCTTTAAACTCTTCACTACGTCTCTCTATACCTTAGATTGGGTGGGTTTAAACTCTGCCCTATGAACCCTTCCCTATTTATACATTCTCTCGCTACAATGACAAATCTACCGTAACCATTTTCAATTGATTTGTAACTGGAACACCTTCCCTATGTTTATCCACTCTCTCTATGTTTATCCACACTCTCTACAATGATTAATCTACCGTGACCATCTTTCAATTGATTTGGAACTGGCACAGAGAGAATATAAACATAGGGAATAGTTTATAACTGAGAGAGAATGGATAAACATAGAGAATATATATGGGTTTAAACTCTTCTATATGTTTATCCATTCTCTCTATAATGATTAATCTACCCTATGTTTATCCATTCCCTCTCTACAATGACTAATCTAGAATGATAATCTTTTCATTTGTAATTGGAACAGAGAGAATAGATAAACCTTGAGAAGAGTTTAATGCAATGTATTGATAGAATGGATAAAGATAAGGAAGAGTTTAATCCCACCCAAGATGTGGAAAGAGAGAGAATGGATAAACATAGGGAAAAAGGTATAGAATGAGAATTTGGTTGATCAAAAATTGAATTTTAAAAAAATTTGATTGGTGGATAGGGAGAGAATACGCAGAAGACGTTGTTCAAAAATTGAATTTTAAAAAAATTTGATTAGTCAAGAGAATATTCATAGGACCTACGAAAGAGAGTTCTTTTTTTTTTTTTTGTACAAAAACGGAAATTGTTTTAATTTCGGTAGTTAAACAACTGAAAAAATGTAATTGTCTTTTTTTTAAAATTTTCGTTATGACATAAAAAAAACAGACAGATAGGTAATAACATAAACTATTCAGTAGCTTTGTAATAATGCAAACTATAACGGATATGTATGTAATTTTCTCTAATGTTTTATAAAAAATTTAATTTGTGCCAACATCTCAATGGAACAGCTAAAAAATATATAAAAATACTATTTCCACTAAAATAAAATGATCAAAATACCTTTAAAAGTTTTAGGGGTATTTTGGCTATTTTATTTTATTAGAATAGTTTTTTATATAATTGTTTTACTGGTGCGTGTTTAAGAGAGGAGTGGATGTTTAAAATTAGATGTCAAAATATTTTATAAAAAAATTTTTTTTTTAAAAAAAACTTGATATTGTAATTGAATCCATCTTAGCCGTTGATTCATATCTAAATGCTAGAAACAGAGAAATATATAACAATTGTACATTAGGAAAAACTTGCCCCCAAGTTTTTGCCTGCACCTTTCTCTCTAGGGCTTCAAACAAATGCACGTCTCTCTTTCTCTCTCTCTCTAGAGCTTCAAACAACTCTTTATTGCGCCTGCCACTGATTTAATCTCTCTTTGTCTCTCTCTAGGCCTCAAACCACTCCTGTTTTAAGCAGCACTCATTATAAATACATGGGAATACTGAAAGTCACTACGTATATGCGTACTGAGAAATCATAGGAAATCAATCTCCCATCACTGCAAAAATATGGAGATGAGAGTTCAGCCATTTCTGGCGTCGGTGGGTCGCCATTTCTACGCCTTCTTCTGTCTCGCATTCGTCGTCTTTGCCGCTGCTCTTGCCCCACACATACCCTCTGATTCTGCACCAGGTTCCAATCAACTTCTTAAATCTCTCTCTCTCTCTCTCTCTCTCAATTCTATGATATACAAAGAACATAAGATCTCTCTGAGTTATGAGCTAGGACCCATTTCATTTCTCTCTCTCTAGCTCTTACTTTTGGTCCCTTTATTTGCAGAAAATGCGCGCCTCAAGTCCAAGAGAAAGCTGGCATCGCTGTAGAGAAGCTATCTGGCCATTTTAACCACACCAATATCACTTCTGCACCTTTCTCTTTCCATTACTTTTGTTAATTTTTCTCTATTTTAATCAGTTACCATGTATTTTGAGTCTGATCCTTAATCAACTAATTCAGTTTGTTCGAAGTGGTGATATATGTAAAGGAATTGTTGGAAATTCAGGATAGTTGAATGTTTTCTCATTGTTATTAAACTTCTCTTGTTTTTTTTTTTAATGTTAATTAATCATCGTTATTAGACTTTTTCCTTGAAGTTCAATTATTGGATAACAAATTGATTATACTAAAAAAATAGATGCATCTAATGCAAATTGATTATACTAAAAACATAGGTACTTTTGTCAATTTAATTTTTATGAACTACTTTTTTAATATTTTTATTAAGTGTGCTTTAATGAGCAGAGTAGACGTTCCAAATTTCATATGATTTAGATTTGTATAAAAGATTAAAATTTAAATATAAAATCAGGTCATGACTGTCAGATCAACCCAAATTCAAACTAGACCTTTGGATATATACTATTCCATTAGCCTTTGG